ACGCTGGTCAATGGTCAAATGACTACGGCAAGCAACAAATGAGTACGCCCCCCCCCCACGCTGCAACGGTGGTGACACACACGGTGCCCTCAGACAATCGCACGACCGGCCGGATGGACTGTCGTACGCGAAGTCGATCAAGCAGATCATCAAGAAGGACGGGGGGGGCACGCGGGGGGTGCTGGGGGTGTTCGGGAGGGGGCTGGGCGGAAGGGTGGCGGCGTCCGCGTTGCAGGTAAGGACGTGTTTTTTTTCTTCTTTTTTTTCAGACGTAGGACATATACCGTACGAGTCGGAGAGATGGCACCCCCGTGCTGGCGTTTTCGTTTAGCCTATTTCTCCACGAGAAGGAGGGTGCGAACACCAACCGATACCTCTCAGGAAAGCCCTCGACGAGATGTTTCCAAAACTACCCTTTTCGCCACTGGTTCAGTACCCCCCGGTTGTTGTGACATACGCTACAAAAAAACGCTGAACACGGGGGTACCATCTCTCCGACTCTTACGGTAGGCTTGCGAGGACTGTGGAATTTGGTCAATGGTAGTCACATGTACTTAGATATGGATTATATACCTATCCATGGTTTTGATGAAATACAAGATCCCATATGCTGGGCTCTCGTGTGTTACTCTCCCGTCGGTTTCTACGGATAATAAAGGACTTTTGAGGTGATCATTCAAGCCTACCATCAGCTCCTCTTTGGGATGTTGTCCATTGACATGGCCATTTGCGAATCCTGGCAAGTGTATATTATTAATGCCCGATAAGTAGTGATTGAGCGAGATCTGACTGGGTTTTTCCATTCCGCGCTGTGCTGCTACGGGCTCCCTCTCGAAGGGGCTGGTGTTCAACATGATTTGGCAGGAAATGGCCGCTTGGAGCAACGACGAGAGATGACACCATCATCCACAGCCATCCGCCACGCGATAGAGCACGACCGACTTGGTCGCCTCGCGCACCCAAGTAATAAGACCGCTGCCCCGAGAGTTCGGCAGATTTTGTAGCAATTTTTCTCCGTTCCCGTCAGCTAGACAGGTGGAAGATTATTTTCCGCTCTTGTTCCGAAACGCTGGAGGTCAAGAGACCGGGGCAACGAATAGTTCGTGTTAGACATTAGGGACAACTGGGGTTGTGTGAGTGTGTGAGTGAGTGATGCTCCTTTTTTGGTTTGTGTTGCGGCGGAGCGTTGTTACTGTTTATCCGCAATTTTGGAAGTCGCGGGAAGGGGGGCGGCACGCCCTAACGTAGAGGTCGTCAGGGTTGGACAACTGTGTTGTCTGGCGGCGGGTGCCTTTCGTTTTTCCAGTGTCAAATGTAGTTCGTGGTCAAGAAAGATGCGTGTTGCCGCTGCCTGATGAAGTGAACACTACGCGTGTTCGATGTGATGGACTGTGTGTGCCAACCGACTTCGGGTGCCTTTCGTTTTTCCAGTGTCAAATGTAGTTCGTTGTCGAGAAAGATGCGTGTTGCCGCTGCCTGATGAAGTGAACACTACGCGTGTTCGATGTGATGGACTGTGTGTGCCAACCGACTTCGATGCGTACCGCACTGTTCCGCGGAGTGTTTCTCCGCCCAGATGTAACAGGGTCATCATCGAGTTTGTGCGCTCTGATGTACAACCTAAACCTAGAAAGAGCCGTGCTCGTGTGGCGGCGCATGCATGTGGATGGATTTCTCTCGCGCTGTAGAAGGTGGAAGCGCTGCTTACCCCGTCGGCGCTAGTACACAGGCTACATATGGTGTGGATGCTCGGCGTAGGCGTTTGAGTGCCTACCTGTGCTCAAGGCCTACTCACCTGCAATGAGAGTGAGTTTTGCTTGTGAGCGTGCGTAGCTGCCGTAGGCCTTACGGTGGCCTTCGAGGGTTGGTGTGTTCGCTTGATGGGTAACAGGTTTCACACGCTGGTACAAGAGGTACCTCATTTACATTGCAAAGCTGTTGCAACAAGGCTGGCGTGATTGAAACTAGAGAGGATGGGCATCATGGCGGGGCCTTAATGTGTCGGCTTCTGATGCACCTATGCTGTGCGGGCGAGTGGTTTGTGTTCTTTCCGCCCGCTCGTCCGTAACGAGATTCCTGTAAATTTCCCTGCGCTGTCGAGCAGGGGCCGTTTCGCACGTTGTCATTTGTGTTCTCTACGTCCCGATGTCAGCGATTTGTTGTAGAGTTGCGAAACGCCAGAGAGGGCGCGATTTTGCCTGAGCGCCGTTGTGGAATGGCCGGCTTCATGTGGAACTCCCAAGAGTGGACTCGAAAGGTAAAAATACTGTCATACCCGAATGGTATACCAGCAGTTGGAATGGAAAAGAGTGTTAATCGCTGAGGAGCCTGTGGTTGTAGAATAAGACTGCGGTCTGGGACCACATCGTGTAAAAAAACAGGGCATCCTCTTCGTAGGTATTGTTTCGTATATCTTGGCGTTGGGAAGGTCACACTCGAAAGAAGAGCGAAGTCAGAAAAAAGAAACGAGCAGGGACGCTCGAAGGAGGGAGGGATGCAACCGCAAATCTCTCGAGCGGACTCGCTCCCAGTCAAGCAGCACATCCATGTGTGGTAATGTGGTAATCCTTGTCGATCACGGCATGTTCTTTATTTTACAGGACAGAGCGTGGAAAGAGTTTGTTGTGCTCTGCTCGCGTCAAGAACCGAAGGCAAGCACGACGCAGGAGGGGTGGGTAGGGGGCCTCAGGGGGATGAACCCTTCTTTGTGAACACAGATACGAGCGCCCACGCGGCAGAAAAGCTGTGAGGGCTGCTTCAAAGTGAAAGGAAAAACGAAGAATGCCCCCGGCACCAGGCCAGCCTAATGGGCCATGTTGGTTGCAACAGTCCTTCGAACATCACATCGTCGTCCGAAAAATAGGTAGCACGTTCTTCGGACACCTAGAAACGCCAGAGGAAACACGCCGACATAGATCCCCACCCAATCTGTGTCCCCAATTGCTACCCGCAGTACACACGTGCCACGAGAAAAACAACCACAGCAATGCAGCGGAAAGAAAGTGAGGACCGAGCAGGGCGATCGCGATGAGGTAGTGGAGCGCCGTGATGCGCCTTGTCTGGGAAAGGAGGTTTTCGGAAATATTTCCGCCTCGTGGTTCCCGATTGGGGAGAAAACCGAAACAGCAAGCGCTTGCCAGTGCCAAGCGTGGTGCGACATGGTTCGCGTTTGAGTCCGAAAGTCTGAACACCCCGGGGTGCTTCCAGGACGTCTAACGGCAAAACTACCCCTTATTCAGCGCTACCCGTGGTCTCAGACATATAGAAAAAAGTTGCCCAGCTCGAAACGGGTGTTGTTGTTTTTTGTCTTTTCTTCACGAACAGTTGAGACCTCCATCTAGATTTTCAGCACAAAACATAGACAAACAGACAACAGAGACCAACAGAACGATGCCAACAGCAATCTCTTCCATTGTGTGAAGCACCTATGCATTCCCGGGCGCGCCCCGCGCCCAAGCTGATTCAGGCCTGAACCAAAAAAAACAACAACGCATTCGCGAGAAAACCGCACGAGAAACATGCGCCGAAAACGCACGAATATATCTTACAAGCGAATAATACATCATCCCCCGACATGGGTTTGTCCGTGGGGTGGACCACGCTGTCCAGACTATCATAGCACAGCACCAGGTAGGTCACAGAAGTTCGGACGTGCGAAGAGGCATGAGTAGACCCCCTACCGCGTTCGACGCATTCACCGCTAGCGGCATCGCATGATCTTCACGATGGAATTACCGACACCAAGAAGAGCTGGGACGCTTCACAGCGAACCAAAGCAACATGATGACTGAAGCCCCCGACAACGTACATGTCACTTCCACCACACGCCAACAGGCCGTCCTAGGGAAATGGGGCTTAGAGGCCCAACACCATCAATGAAACTCCTGTCCCACCCCCCGCCCCTTCAGCTTGGATCGGTCCACTGTTCCACTCCAACCTTCCTTCTTCGCCCGAAGAAAGCTGGCATCCTAGTCTGTCTCTGGCCCTGTTCTCCGCTCCAGTGCTGATGGTCGAGGAGGGCAAGGGCGAGAGAAGAAAATGGCACGGGGCGTAAAGGAATTACTTTTAATTGCCCCGTTTAAGGCTAGGGCTTTGTGGGTGCGCATCATGCATACTCCACCAGCGGGAGCACCACTCGTCACAGCATCTGATGCTATACTGCTGCTGTATGGGTAGGAGCTATGCGTAGGTGCAAAGGCTTAACAACGATAGCACCTGGCGATTGTATCTTTGTTGGAGGAAGTCTTTGCCCGACAAGCATGGCGCGCGCAGCATTCGACGAGCGGCTCGCCTGTGCAGAGAATGCTCTCACGAATTGCGTGCCTGTCCGTCAGGTGCTCTGCTCCGCAACCATCTGACGAAAGGTACCACACCCCCTGGATCGAACGTCATAGCGCGATTGCTCCGCAGACGGGAGAGCACCGGTGCCGTAAACGGCGGCGATGAAACCACCTCGTCGAGAGCTGTTCGTAAACGCTTCGTTGTGACAATTGCATCCTCTACTTGTACGTGATTTACATATCTACAGCGGTGCAGCAGTAGTCGAGCTTTCAAAAATCGGTGCAGGGGGTGAGGTATCTTGTGTCATGTCACCCACGGCACGCTAATCTGGGTGAAAACAATTGTAGTATAGTGGTGGGAATTCAGGACCCAAAGAAAACTAGTTGCAACCCTGACCTCAGCCCGATGATTAACAACACCTCAGACACGCATTTACAGAGTACGTTTATTACTGATGCTGTGGGTGGTGGGTCGCGCGCCATAAGCCGCACTCGGCGGGCGGTCCAACATCAACTGCCGTAATTTCCCTTTAAGGGTCTACAACAAGAGCGGCGCACCCAACACAAGTGCCGGACTCGGCGTGGGGTGCCTCTTCCATGTCCCCATACGCCCTCCGTACGGCGTACGCCGAAGCTGCTTGCATCTACCAGCTGAGCAGCCTACCTGCTGTTCTCTCCCGAGACCGTAAGCATGGCGTAGGTGTAGTCTAAAGGTAGTCTCACAGCACAGGTGGATACGCCAAAGAGCAGCGCATTTTGAACGCCACGTTCCTTTTCGTAGACACCCAGCATATCTACCTCCCGCCTGAGCTTCTGCTTGAAGATCTGTCCCTAGGGATACTCACAGTTGTAGTTGAGCAGCTTCTCGATGAGATCTACGTGAGTGAGCACCATTCGTCGGCAGCAGTATCTCTTGAGGCCGAGCTCGTCCAGCGCATCTCCCTCGTTGTAGTCCGCCTGCAGCAGGCTCAAGTACGTTTCCCACTTGTTTCCGATTACCTTACCGCATGTGAAGCATCGCACCGGGATGATCATCGTGCTACTGGGGGTGCACGTGTGTGGTGAGCCCCAGGCAACAGCAACGCAGTCAGGTGTGTGTGTGCCTCGCCGGAGATTCATGGAGGAGCCGCAGAAGATGATTAGAGAGGTCTACGATTATAGCATGCTGCTTGGCAACCTCTGCACCTGCGGAGCCCCAGATGCCGCCTGCCGCCCGCGGGAGATGACACATATGTCTGTGTCATTTTATTTGACACATAGGGGATGATAACGACTGTCCCCGGGG